GTCGTGTTAAACTTTGCCACCCCTAACAATAGCCCATCCAAAAAAATATCACTTTAAAAAAATAATAGACAAATTAGTGAGTGGCAATTAGGGGTACAACTTGGGTTGGGTAACCTGAGCTCATCCCAATTTTTCACGGGTTTGGTCAATTATTTTTACAATTAAGGTTGGGTTTGGATTGAAAAATCTCAACCCGAATTTAATTAGGGCTAGGCTTGAGTCGAAGTACCAACAACCCGAACTAACCCGAACTCGAATTCTAATATTATTTACATATATATTTTTACTTTTAAATACATTAAATATAATATTTAAATTATGATTACTTTTTTTCTTATCAATTTCTTTGGTTAAATCTTAACTTGTTAACATTTAGGTGAAATAATTTATTAAAAATTTGTTTATAATTTATTAAAAATATACAAAAAAATCTTTAAACTTTTTCTTGTTTAAGAGTTATTTAATCTAAAACTAATTCAAGATCATATTAAATTTTCAGTATAAGAATTAGCTATATGAGTAACTCGAATTAATCCAAAGTTTTTACCTGGAATCTAAGCTTGAGTTACAAGCCCGAATTTAAAAGTAGAAGGATTGGTTGGGTTTGAGTTGAGTAGTTAAGGTTGATGATAGGTTAGGGTTGAGTTTGGGTTTAGTATTTCATATAATGGGTTAGGCTCAAGTTATACTTCAAATCCGTCCAATCCGCTTGCGTTGCAGCCCTAGTGGCAATAAGCCAGGTCATTTTTTAAGATAAAAGATAAATATTCAATAAGTCCAACACGTGACTTTATACATTCTCGCACCAATCCCATACATCACATCACAACTATTACATATATGCTCCTTCTTTGACCAATTACAATAGCTTATCCGAATTTTGACTATGCAGAAATGTTACTCCAGCTATTTCGAAAGTCACATCAGCAGTTTTTGTTCTTCAGAAACAGACACTTCATCAGGCTCTTCGAATTTTGGCTTTCTAATTTTTTTATTAATTAATTATTATTTTTTTTAACTTTTTCATAACGGCTGTATTTCTAACCGCTATAAACCTAACGGTTATATTTATAACGGCTATATTTCGTATACTAGAATTTTTATTATGTAATGTTTTTTTAATAATAAAAATGATAAAATTGTTTCTCAACGGTAATATTTTTCAATCAAACAATATCTTTTCAAACTATTTAAAAAGTTAGGATTAATATTATAACTTTAAACAATACATTATCCATTATGGACTAAAAAAAAAAAACGAAAAACACAAATTATAGGTTTTTTAAAAGTTAAAAAAAAAAAAAAAAAAAGGTTTAAAGGAAAAATATAAAAGGTTTTTAAATTTATTTTTGGCCCAAATCAAATATATATATATTTTTTAAAGAAAAGAGAGCTTAAAAATAGCCCATTTTTGGGTTTTTTTCAAAAAAACTTGTAGTCAAACAGAGCCATAAGTTAAAGAACAAAGCTCCTCCAAACACGATATCATTTTGGCAATGAATAAGACCAAAAAAATTAAAGCGATCGAACTTGGGTCGCAAGTCCTTGTGGGCCCACCCATTTTTCGCGAGACTGGTGGAACGCTTTTGGACCGTTTGGCTCACGAAAAGGGCCTTCTGTGAGCCTGGTGTGGATGTTCTAAGCAACTCTCTGTTGCATAACTATTCAACACTCGACCCAACCCTTCTAGAATTTTTAAAAATTAAAAAAAGAATAAGAATAAAAAGCCTTTAGATTCTTTTATCATCTTTCTATTGAACTTTGACTTCCTTACAAGAAAAAAAACACAGTCGAAAATATAAATAGAAAGTTAGGGGTGCGTGGTCCAGATAGAAAGTTAGTAGCCTAAAAAATAATTTTAAAGTTCCACATATATATATATATATATATATATTTATGAATAGGCCAGGTCACCTTTTAAGATAAAAGACAAATATTCAATAAGTCCAACACGTGACGTTATATATTCTCGCACCAATCCTATACATCACACATAACTATTACATGTATGCTGCTTCTATAACCATCTGCAACAGTTTCTCAAAAATGCCACTCTAACTTTTTCAAGAGTCACGTTTGCAACTTCTGCTCTTCAGAAACCAACACTCTATCAGGCTATTCGAATTTTTGCTCTACAATTTTTTTTTTTAATTAACTAATTAATTTTTTTTTTTAACTTTTTCATAACGGCTTGTATTTTTAACCGCTACAATTCAAACGGTTATATTTGTAATGACTATATTCCGTATATATTATAACTTTAAACAATACATTATTCATTATGGATTAAAAAAGAAAAACAAAAAACACAAATTATAAGTTTTTTTAATGTAAAAAAAGTTTTTAAAAAATTAAATTTGAAAGGAAAAAATAAAAGGTTTTTAAATGTATTTTTGGCCCAAATCATTTTTTTTTTTTTTTGACAAACAGTGCCTAAACAATATATTTTTTATTTAATTACTTTTTTTATATAAAAAAAGTGAGCTCAAAATAACTCATTTTTGGGTTTTTTCCAAGAAAAACTTGTAGTCAAACAGTGCCATAATGTTAAAGGAAAAAGCTCCTCCAAAAACGATGTTGTTTTGGTAGTGAATAAGACAAAAATAAATTACAGCGATCGGATTTGGACCGCAAGCCCTTATGGGTCCACCTATTTTTCACGAGACTGGTAGAACGCTTCTAGGCCGTTTGGCTTACGAAAAGGACCTTCTGCGAGCCCAGTGTGGATGCTCTAAGCAACTGTCTGTTGCATAGCTATTCAACACTCTACCCAACCCTTAAACAATTTTTAAAAATAACAATGAAAATAAAAATAAAAAGCCTTTAGACTCATTTATCACCTTTCTATTGAACTTTGACTTCCATTAAAAAAAAAAAAAAGGGGGTCGAAAATATAAATAGGAAGTTAAGGGTATATGGTCTTAGATAGAAAGTTAAAGGTAATAGAAAGTTAGTAGCCCCAAAAATAATTTTATTGTAGATAAACTTAATTTATGGTACAAAAATTTATTTCATAATAAATTTTAATCTGGCCTTCCAAAATATTTTTAAAATATTTATTTAGTGACCTAAAAATAGAGAGTGAAAATAAATTTAACTTATTTTCTCACTAAACTCATATAATATCATCAACTTGAAATCTTTTAACCATACTTTAGAAAACTTAAATGTTGTTAAATAAAAATGTAAATGTATTATTATTCAATCCCTACCCAAAAGAAAAAAATTACTTCATTTGCATATAGACATATATAATATTCATTATATGAATTTAAGAGAGATAAAGAAGAAAACTATACAAATGTACCTTATGTCTAATAAAAATGAATAAAATTTCTTAATGATATTATATATGTTAATATATTTTTTTCTTACTTGGTACCCATATAAGGTAAGAATTCAGTACCACTGATATACTGAACCGTTGGTTATGTTAGTAATATAAATCGAAAATAAAATTATATAATATAAGACAAAATGACAAGTACCTTAAATTAAATCTGATTCAAACCCATGTACATGGAACTTTAGGCATTCACTTAATTTTGTTAGGTATAGGTGCTTTTCTTCTAGTAGTCAAGGCTCTTTATTTGGGGGCACCTAGTCATCTCTGCCTCGTTGCGGGTCAGCACCTCCGAACGAAACGGAGGTAGTGCTACAACATGCATTAGCCACCAATCTACCCATTTTTTGGAATTGCTCTGTGATGGATTCAATTTGAGCTACAATTGGAATACAATAATATCCTTATAGTTTAATCTGACCTCCAATGTTTTAAATGCTTAATCAAGTTGAACACCTAAACTCTTTTTTCTAAGCTCGCTTAATGACTTATAAATGTGGATTAGTTTTCAACTAAATTTTTCTTCTTTTCTATTTTTATTTGAAAAAAGAAGACGAAAAAAAAAAGTAAATTTTGGAAGTTGTTTAGAAATTTATCTGTGGAAGTAAAAGTAAATTGTAGGGCATGGCCCGGTCCTTTTCTTTCCTCTGGGCATCCTAAAATAGAAAATTGTAATAATTATCCTTTTGTTTGTTTCCAAGAGAGGAAACAAGTATGGTTGCCTGAAAGTGAATTTATTTAACTTTTCACATATTTTAATAAATTATTTTAATTTAGTGTTAAATAATGATGCCTCATGCCTCTTGAGATTCTCATGCACAAACATTATTCTTACAGAATAAATCATTTATTATGTTTAATGCATCCCAAATCAACCTAAACAATATTGAGTTTCGTTAAAATAGATTAAAGAAAAATTAATATAATTCATTTGCCCACACTATCAAATATCAAGTTAAAGTTTTCTTTTCAATTTTGAAAAGGTCCATGCTTAAGGCATTGGTAAAAAGAATAATAATAGTAAATAAAAGGAATTATTGTTTCTTCATCACAAGCTCCAATTAATCACAAACTAATTATCGGCGTTGGAATTTGTTACAAGAAATTATTGAATATTCCGAGACTAAATGGTAATCACATTCAATTGAATTGCCGATTTTAATTAATTGTATTTTAGTTCTAATTCTGAAACTTGTAATAATTTTTCGATGGTCGCAATGATCGTTCAAAATATATATCTGTGTTGAATTCAGTGAGTGCATGCAACCGTCAATATCACTTTTTAAAATAATAAACAAATTAATAAGTGTAAGATACAATCAATGTCTCTTAAGATAACATACAATTATTGGAAACAATAATGACATTTAAAAAAATTAACAGAAAGAGTGTGAATTGTTATAACACATAAATAAAATAATTTTGCAATCCATGTTCATAAAGTCATCGTATTTTTCTTTTTTCCCGTCGCTGGAGACCAAGCCTCCAATCCAATACGCTTCATCTTTACTAGTGGCGTTATTAGTAATTTGATGAAAGTAAAAGGGTAATTTTTTTTATAGAGAGCATTTAAGTGGGCACCTACCGTCTGCTGAACATCAAGTCAAATTCACCCTGCTATCCATGGTCAAGGCTACTATCAATCGGTGGATGTTAATGTTGCACAAAAATGGCTACAAGATGCCTTCAAATGCTAGCTGTTACCAGAAGATTTGCTGACGAAAGGAAGGAAGAAGATAAGATGCCTTCAAAATTTCTCACTGTCCATCTTTATTTCTTTTCAGATTCCCAGATTTCTTCTGCAACCAAAACATCTTTTGAACAGTACTGTAAGTTAATATCTCTGAAAAAATTGATACAAAAAGATTTGCTTACGAGAGGAAGGAAGAAGATAAGATGCCTTAAAAATTCACCCTGCTATATATCTATGCACAAAGGCAAATTCTACTTTGGTCTTAGAAGATTACAGACATCCTACCCATTTGATGATTTACTTGAGTGGTCCGCCTCCTCACAATTGGATTTGCTTGGAGCAAAATTGTCCATTCCAACTCCCGGAGAAAGCCGTGCATCCAATTTACTCGCAAATTCAGTATTCACCATAAATTGTGTGCAGTTCATCACATTATGGTGTTCTGTGGCTGCATTGCCATGCCAAGGCCGCCGCCTTGAAACTCGCTTTTTTCCTGAGGGTTCAATGGAGGAGTATACTTGGTATAAACCTTTGGGTTTAATCTGGAATAGGATAAATGTGGCAGGATGTAATGTGGAGAATCTGACTTGTAGCGGATTATTAACGGAGGTTTGTCAAATCGAGAGATATGCCAGAGAGATTCCTGATCTAGATGAGTATTGGCAATCAAGTGAAAGGAGAGCACAACTGAGTCAGATGGAGGAGGAGATACGGAGAAATACTTCGTACTCTGGGAAATAATGAAAGTGGATTACTGAAAGATCTTGGTGAGGATCTGAAGGATGTGCCGAATAAGTTTCACAGCAGGCGGGTGGAGATTACATTATTAGTTGCCAGATAGAAATTTTTAGAAAAGAAAAGAATGCAGGTATAGTTCTTGACTCACATTGGCAAGTGAATATGCATGTTCAGCTCAATGTTCTTTAGCAGGTAGCCGAAATTGAAAATTTAAAGCTTATAAATAAAAAAAGCCCTCTCACATCTGTTTTACCGTGCAAGTTGCTATTGTTTTATTTAGTAGCTAACCATATGGTTTTTTTTTGCGGCCAAATGTGGATGTCCATTTTGTGAAGATAAAGATGGGGATATGCAAAGATCGAGTTTCAAAAAAGAGCTGACAGAGCATGAAGATGAAGATTATGATTTTCTAGTTTGTTGTTGTTCTTCTTCTTTAAGTTAAATATTTGGTTCTGTATTTTTAATTTAGTCTCTTTTGAACTAGAGAGTCCAGAATATTTTAGCAATGTAGTAGTTGGATTGAAAGTTAGAACTTATATTTTTCTAATATTTATTATTTAATTATAATGTTTGGTTTTAGTTGTGTCTTATTCCGTCTTATATATGCGTGTTGTGTTATGTCACGTGTTTAGGTTGACCTAATTAATGTAATATCCTTAAGTGGACACAATTATAACAGGCAAATACAAATTACCACCCCCACACCATATGCGCATCAAATTATTTCAGTTTCCGTATAATCCTCCACATTCTTTTACTTTGAAATTTGACGTATTTCTTAAACTTCCCAGCCATGAGATCAAATACATCCTGATACGTTGAACCACCTGAAGCAAGAATTTGCTTGCTCTATTTAATTTATCTTCGATGGGTTTAAGGCTAGTATGTACTCACCCTCTCTCATAGAGTTTTCCATTGAAAATACTTCTAAAAACAAAAAGGGTTTTTGTGGCTATAGTTGAAACTTTCTAATGTGAGATTATTGTTGGGTAGATCAATCCAAAATTTTGACATATGATAATGGAAATATATGTGGATCTGTCTTGGTATTAGTTTTTCGTTTAATTTTTTTATTTTTTATTTTTAGAAAATAAAGCAAGAAGTATATGAGTCGTAGTGGTGGCAAAATGGGTCATGTCCGGTCAACCTGCCCATATTTGCCTGCCTTAAAATGGATATGGGTGAATCATTTTAAAATATGGGTCAAAATTAGGGGTGCACAAAGAACCGGTAGAACTGAACCCGAACCCGAACCGGTACTTAGTTTCAAGTTCCAATTTTTAGGAACCGTTAAATAATTATAAATATTATATTTTTAATTATATAATTACTAATATATATGTGTATTAATGCATACAAAGATATATATATATATATATATATATATATATATATATATATATAAAATAAAAGTATGTTCTCATGTACAATATTATATATCAAAATGCACTAAGAATGGGTTTAGAGTTATTAATTTTTTAAAAAATAAAAGGAATCGGAATCGTGAAACCGATTCAGTTTCGGTTCCATGTAATAGATAAACAAAGGAGAGGAGAGATATATGGGGTTGACTTGACTCTTCTCTATTACCATGTCCCAATGATTCTAGTTCCTATTCCATTTTCTAGGAATTGTTGGGATCGGTGTCAAAATATGTGATTCATATTCAACCTATTTTTATAGAGAACGGGTTAGATATGAGTCATCCATTTTGACCCATATTTCTATTTGATTAAAATGTTGTCCAAAACTTCGGTCTAATTATACTCTATATATAGCATTATTTATTTAAATATTATCTATAAATATAAATAATAATCTATAATTATATAATTTCTTATAATATATAGTTTAATATAATCAAATAAAACTATAAAATAATGAACCTGATTAAAAGTTGAGGCTAGAATTTGATTCTATATCCTTTAGACAGATTCGCCCTGCTATGGTGCTAACGGACTCAGTGGTGTTTATCTCACAGGATACAACGATTTGTCTTCTTTCGGTAATAGCACTGCAAACCAAAGGAATAGGCGAACTGGCTCGGTGTAGTACTCTCTGACTCGAACTTGGACTCGAAGTGACTGACTAAGGCTCGAACCCAAGTTTTAAAGCTCGAACCCACAGACTAAAGAGAGAAAGAGGAAGAAGAAAATTCAGAAGAAGAGAAGAGTTATCTGAATTTTGGTGTGATTTGGAATGAACCCAATGAGGGGTATTTATAGGCTAGATGGTGCCTTTTTCTAATTGGTGCAACCATTGGTCCACAATGGTTCAGGAAAAAACTGCTGGTGGTTTATTTTGCAAAAGGGTGCAACCATTGGTTCATAAAAACTGTTTTATGATTTTAATTTAAATTAAATACCAAAACTATTTTAATCCATTATGAAGCCCAGCAAACAGGCCCAATTCGGCCATCTTAATAAGCCCAGCAAAAATAAAATTAAAACCAATCACACAAGTCCAATTTCATTTAATAAAAAATTAAACATATTTCACAATCAATCCCTGCCCACGCACGGACTAGGCGGGCAGTGCGCGTGTGGTAGTTGGTTCGGACCCAAACTTGCTTAGGTCCTTCCCTTCTTAAAAACTTGGGTGCCCTTGAGCCCAAATCCAAATCCCATATTAGGCTTATTTAAACTTAAATTGGTTTTAATAATTTTCCGATGTGAGACAAATATTTTCCACATTTTGCAAACCCATTTAGGCTTTATCAAACATCTTACTTTGGAGTTAATTTCTCATTCACCCGGAAAGGAGATGAATGCGCTCGTCTATAGATCCGTAAAAAATTCTTAACAGAATCTATTGAAAATACTTTTAAAAACAAAAAGAGTTTTTGTGGCTATAGTTGAAACTTTCTAATGTGAGATTATTGTTGGGTAGATCAATCTAAAATTTTGACATATGATAATGGAAATATATGTGGATGTGTCTTGGTATTAGTTTTTCGTTTAATTATTATTTTTTTTTTTGGAAAATAAAGCAAGAAGTATATGAGTAGTGGTGGCAAAATGGGTCATGTCCGATCAACCTGCCCATATTTGCTCGCCTTAAAATGGATATGGGTGAATCATTTTAAAATATGGGTCAAAATTAGGGGTGCACAAAGAACAGGAGAACCGAACCCGAACCCGAACCCGAACCGGTACTTAGGTTCAAGTTCCAATTTTTAGGAACCATTAAATAATTATAAATATTATATTTTTAATTATATAATTACTAATATATATGTGTATTGATGCATACAAAGATACATATATATAATAAAAGTATGTTCTCAGGTACAATATTATATATCAAAATGCACTAAGAATGGGTTTAGAGTTATTAATTTTTTAAAAAATAAAAAATTAAAATTAGAATAAAAGGAACCGGAATCGTGAAACCGATTTGGTTCTGGTTCCATGTAATAGATAAACAGAGGAGAGATATATGGGGTTGACTTGACTCTTCTCTCTTACCATGTCCCAATGGTTCTAGTTCCTATTCCATTTTCTAGTAATCGTTGGGACCAGCGTCAAAATATGTGACTCATATTCAACCCATTGTTATAGAGGATTGAACAGGTTAGATATGAGTCACTCATTTTGACCCATATTTCTATTTAATTAAAATGTTGTCCAAAACTTCATTCTAATTATACTATATATATAGTATTATTTATTTAAATATTATCTGTAAATATAAAATAATAATCTATAATTATATAATTTCTTATAATATATAGTTTAATATAATCAAATAAAATTATAAAATAATGAACCTGATTAAAAGTCGAGGCTAGAATTTGATTCTATGTCCTTAAGACAGATTTGCCCCGTTATGGTGCTAACGGACTCAGTGGTGTTTATCTCCCAGGATACAACGATTTGTCTTCCTTCGGTAGTAGCACTACAAACCAAAGGAATAGGCGAACCAGCTCGATGAAGTACTTTCTGACTCGAACTTGGACTCGGAGTGACTGACTAAGGCTCGAACCCACAGACTAAAGAGAGAAGGAGGAAGAAGAAAATTCAGAAGAAGAGAAGAATTATTTGAATTTTGGTGTGATTTGGAATGAATCCAAGGAGGGGTATTTATAGGCTAGATGGTGTCTTTTTAGAATGGGTGCAACCATTGGTTCACAATGGTTCAGGAAAAAACTGCTGGTGGTTTATTTTGCAAAATGGTGCAACCATTGGTTCATAAAAACTATTTTATGATTTTAATTTAAATTAAATACCAAAACTGTTTTAATCCATTATGAAGCCCAGCAAACAGGCCCAATTCGGCCATCTTAATAAGCCCAGCAAAAATAAAATTAAAATCCAATCGCATAAGCCCAATTTCGTTTAATAAAAAATTAAACATATTTCACAATCAAGCCCCGCCCATGCCCGGACTGGGCGGGCGTCGCGCGTATGGCAGTTGGTTCGGACCCAAGCTTGCCTAGGTCCTCCCCTCTTAAAAATTTGGGTGCCCTTGGGTCCAAATTCAAATCCCATATTAGGCTTATTTAAACTTAAATTGGTTTTAATAATTTTCCGATGTGGGACAAACATTTCCCACATTTTGCAAACCCATTTAGGTTTTATCAAATATCTTATTTTGGAACTAATTTCTCATTCACCCGGAAACGGATTTGAGAAAGTAAATATACCACGTTCATCTCCTTGTAAAGAGGAACGCGCTCGTCTATAGATTCATAAAAAATTCTTAGCAGAATCTATTGAAAATCTCTTCCAAAATTTATGTTTTTAATGCCTATGTTTCTAACATAACATTCATATCCTTTATTTGATTCAATTTCACCTTTTCTTCCTCACTGAAATCTCTCTCTAAAATTATTGCTACATCACAACACATACAACACATATACAATGTATTGTATTCCTGTGTATAATATCTTGCTATCTTTTCTACCAACAATATCATTTGCTTCTTTTGGTAATTCTCGATCTACGCAAATAAATGTATGTAGAGAGAGAGAGAGAAGAATGGGGGTATGGCACGAGAAATTATTGAATACCCCATGGCAATGAAGGCCATTGGATTATGGATGTGGTGGGGCTGGGATACGCGGGGTATTCAATAATTTTTCGTATGACACACGTGATTTCCACTACTTTGACTACTGTTTTTCAATACACACACAAAATCAACCAAAACTAAATAAAACAAGTTTCTTTAAACCCCTCCCACTCTTCCAGGCCGCCACGGCCAGAAAGTAGATAAAAAGTTCTCTCCATTAGTCTTTTTCTAAACACACACACAGATATATATATATATATATATATATATATATATATATATATATATATATGTTATTTACCGAAGTGGTTTAGTAGTTTCTGCTCCTAAACTAAAACTGTTTTTAACTCAGGTCAGATTTCTTGGTCATGAAATTTGTGATGGAAAAATCAGACCTATTGATCGCAGTATTGAGTTTGCTTCTAAATTTCCAGATGAAATAAAAGATAAAACTCAACTCCAGAGATTTCTTGGTACTTTGAATTATATTCGAAATCACTACAGAGAT